GGTGCCACAATCTTTTCCAAAATCGATTTGAAGAGTGGGTATCATCAGATTCGGATCCGCCCAGGAAACGAGTGGAAAACTGCATTTAAAACGAAAGATGGCCTATTCGAGTGGTTGGTAATGCCTTTTGGACTAACCAATGCTCCTAGTACTTTTATGAGGGTGATGACACAGGCCCTTCAGCCTTTCATGGGCAAATTCATTGTCGAATACTTTAATGACATCCTCGTGTACAGCAAAACAAGGGAACAACATCGAGATCATCTCACGCAAGTTTGCTCTACATTGCGTGCAACAAGCTTGTATGCCAATGTGAAGAAATGTTCTTTCTTCACGGATACAATTGTGTTTCTCGGATTTGTTGTTTCCACTACGGGAGTATCTACTGATCCTGCAAAGATTCGAGCAATTGTTGAGTGGCCAGATCCCAAGAATATACATGATGTTAGTAGTTTTCATGTTTTAGCTACCTTTTATCATCGTTTCATCAAGGGACGATCATGGCTCCTATCACAGAGTGTATGAAGAGAGGAGAATTTCATTGGACGCAGGAAGCCGCTAAGGCCTTTCAGTTAATCAAAAGGCGAATTACAGAGGCTCCTATCATGTGACTCCCGGATTTTTCCAAAATTTTTGAGGTCGAATGTGATGCGTCAAGGGTAGGAATAGGTGGAGTTTTAAGTCAAGAACGCCATCCGATTGCTTATTTTAGTGAGAAATTAAATAATGCTAAGCAATGGTACTCGACTTATGATAAGGAGTTGTACGCAGTCGTACAAGCCTTGCGCTATTGGCGTCATTACTTATTACCCCACGAATTTGTCCTCTTTTCTGACCATGAGGCCCTTCGTCTCCTTAATTCCCAGAGACGATTGAATTCTCGGCATGACCGCTGGATCGAATATTTGCAAGCCTATTCTTTTGTCTTAAAGCATAAGAAAGGTGTTGAAAATCGAGTTGCTGACGCTTTAAGCCGTCGCATCCCCTTGTTGTCCGTCATGAGTGTTAAGGTTCTAGGGTTTGAAAGACTTAAGGAAGAGTACGAGTCATACCCCGATTTCAAAGACATTTTTCTTGCTTTGCAAAACGGGGAGTTGGACACCACTGATGGTTTCCGTTTGGAGGAAGGCTATCTTTTTAGATCCAATAAGTTGTGTATCCCAACGACTTCAGTGCGGGACTTTATAGTGTGGGAAAGTCATGCTGGTGGGTTGGCTGGACATTTTGAGCGTGATAAGACCATAGAGGAAATTGAACGTCAATTCTATTAGCCCAATTTAAAGACCGACGTGGCCAAAATTGTCGGCACATGTAACACCTGTCAATGATCTAAGCACAAAAGGCATAACACAGACCTCTACACTCCTCTCCCCATCCCTAGTTGTCCTTGGCAAGACGTTAGTATAGATTCGTGCTAGGATTGCCACGTACTCCAAAGAAACACGACTCCATTTTTGTTGTCGTAGATCGCTTCTCGAAAATAACACACTTTATTCCCTGTAGCAAGACTTCCGATGCATCTAAGGTTGCTAAGTTATACTTCCATGAGATCGTCAAACTGTATGGCCTCCCTAAGACCATTGTCTCGAATAGGAATGTTCATTTCACTAGCCATTTTTGGCGAACCCTATGGAGTATGGTTGGCACTAAGCTGAAATTCTCTACTGCATATCACCCACAAACGGACGATCAAACTGAGGTTGTTAAGCGCAGTCTTGGTAATATATTAAGATGTCTAGTCCAGGAAAATCTTAGGAATTGGGACTTAATTCTTCCTACTGCCCAACTTGCATATAACAGTTCAGTGAATCGGTCTATAGGTATGAATCCCTTTGAGGTTGTTCATGGTTTTAAGTCTAGAAAGCCGTTAGACCTTATTCCTATGTCTCCACATGCTAGTGTGTCTGTGTCAGTTGAGTCTTTTGCACAACATCTGCGTGACTTGCATATTGAGATCAATAAACAGCTAGAAGCGAGTAATGCATTATATAAACTTCGAGCTGATTTGCACAAAGGCCATGTTGAATTTAATGTTGGGGATTATGTTATGATTCGAATTAGACCGTAACGCTGTCCATCTGGGCCTGCTTCCAAATTGCAAGCTCGTAGTGCTGGTCCTTTTAAAATTTTATAGCGTGTTGGTCCAAATGCTTATGTCATTGACTTACCATCACATTTTGGCTACCACCCTACCTTTAATGTTGAACACTTAGTTGCTTACAAAGGTCAATTTCACCCCGCTGATAATCCTTTCACACCTCCATCTCTGGACCCTCATCCTAAACCTGTTACCCCTGCCCCAATTCTACCTGCTGCAGCACATAAAGATAAAATTGATGCTATTCTAGATGCACAGACTATATTAATCAAGAATGGAGACATTCAGCGCTTCCTTATTCGTTGGGAGGGTCGTCCTAATTCTGATTGTACTTGGATCCCCAAAGAGACACTTCAACAGCTTGATCCTGACTTGTTGGAGCATTATAGGAGTCAACAAAATCTTCCTCTACCCGGACCACCACCCTTGCGTGTCTATAGACGTCGAAAGAAATTTGCTCAACCGATCAATTTGTGGCTAGGAGATTGACAGCAGCCTTTTGGGATCTACCTCCTCGACGGGGTCGAGTTTTTCTCCCACCCCAGGAGAGTTGATGAGGATATCATCCCAATTTTATCTTTTAGTTATTTATTTTGGGCTCATGTCTCATTGGGCTTGTATATGGGTTTGGCTCAAGCTCAAGTTATTATTTTGTTATTTATGTTATTGTAATTGGGATTGAAAGTCAGATGATGAATGAATGAATTGTTGCCTTCCACCAATCTGTCTTCTCTCTTTCCACTCTCTCCGGATTCTCCCTTCTTGTTTCTTCTCTGCTTCTTGCTTTTCTTATTCAATTAATCCTACATCATAAACCTTTTCAATTGGGACTTGCATTTCAAGCTGTTCTCCACCTCCAGCAGCTTGCACAGTGCTGAATCCCCGAGCAACGAGTGAAGGAGAACCTCCAGCATCAGCCTAACATACAATAAATAATAAGTAGCAGACGTACCAAAATCGAAAAATTTTATATATATACACCAAATGCAATAAATGATGGGGTTAACGATGAATATCAGTATTCATCATTAAAAATTAAAAATTAAATTACCTCAGCAATAACATCCTTTATCAATTTCTCGGCCTTCTTTATATTTTCCAAAGTTCCTATCAGTTCCAAAGGCCTGGTGGCAGAATGTGGATCTGCATCAGCATCTCTCACAATCTGAATTTTGGCACCTGTGTTGTCTTGAAGGGACCTAATAGTGTCCCCAGCCTTTCCAATTATAACCCCAACCTATGACAAAGGAAGAATAAACATTCCAATCAAGTTCCTTTCCTCTTCAACGTTTCCTATCTCAGTTCAGCTTTCCTCTTCAGCATGGATGTAGATGGGAATGGGGCAGGATTTTTATCATAAAGTTCTGGACATGAAGTTTCAATTAAATCTAGTGCCACCAGAAACTGAACTAGTCACGGTCTCCTCATGGTCTTTTTCTCATATTTTCTTTTCCTATATTTATTTTTAATTCGAATAATTCCATCTACACACTTGGGAATGCATTAGTTAATTTCATGTCAAAATTATGGTCCCATCTAGAGATTGTAGTTTTCCTGTATCTTTATACCCTTTTCCCTTCCCTTATTTTCCACTTGCATAAAAGTATGTACGCATATGGATATTTGTGCACATGAATACAAAGACATAAATTGTAATCATGACTATAACTCCTATTATCCACCATCAGAGACTGGAAAAAACCACGTCAGGAACTTAGGGAATTGAAAACCCAAGCAACAATAGTTCTTCAAGAAAGCCACAGTTCTCCAAGTTCTAATAATCATTCATGCTTCCTTTTGCAATCATAATGATTGACAGATGGTTTGGTAGCATTACTTAATTCTATCTCCTCCTTAGTTTTTACTGATCGGTGGGATCTGGATCTTAGTGGCACCCAATATTTTCTCGGTCTTTCATCTGCTAACCTAATATCTAGGATTCATTCCAATTTCCCTTTAGATTGTTCATTCGGAAATCCAAGGTTCGTTTAGGTTGAAGGCTTTCGCTTACGGAGGCAGTAACTTGGGCAATAACTCATAGTGATATGCTATGTCAGTTCGGCTAGATATAATTACAATGATTTTCCAAAAATGTATTCCTGTTATCATGTATTTTGTTGGACAAGATAATATTGCTGGTATCCTTAAGGGGTAAGGTAGTTATTTCATATTGGTAAGAAAGCGTTAACAGATATACAGTGTAAATGGAAGGATTAGCTTCTTTTAACTCTAACATCACCAACTTTTATTAATTGAGAAAAGACAAGATTTTCAAATGAATACATGTGGCCCTGTTCTAATAGCTTAATTTTGAATAAGGCGGTTAACATGCAACATAGATGGAGATATAGAAAAATACAGAATCTTGAAACTAATGTGGTTCAAGAACTGAATTACTCTGTGATAGATTTAGGCATTATAAGTTAAAGCATATACTGTGTACTAATTTTTTGATTTGGCTACTTAAACTTGATTACGATTGCATATTTCTTAAAAAAATGGAATTTGTATTTTACTTCAGAATTTCTATGTCTTTTTACACTTTATGGATAACAGGCTAATTATTATCAAAAACACACGTGTCTTTCTGTATTATGATGGTTGTTGAGTAATTTTCATGCTTTTATTATGACCCTATTGGGCGTGAATTAAAATTTTGATAAAAATCTAAGTCTAAATCAACAATTAATTTTAATCAGACATTTCATTTGTCCCACAGCATTTCAACCACGTATTTCATCAACTTTTATCAAAATATATTAAAAATCTGATTTTTAGCTATACCAAACAGGGGATACTTGTATTGTTAATTAGATTAATTGTTCCTTTTCCATGTAATCAATATAGACACTACTGGTGATTCATTCAATTGAATTACATATTCATTCATTTAAGTATGATTTTTTTTTATCATCATAGCTCGTTGATAACATTAATATGTGATCAAGGTAACAAATTATGGTTTCCAAATTCCTATTTTGGCTTAATTTCACTCAATTTCAAGACTTGACAAGTGTCTTGCTAAATGACAGAATCACTTGTTGTGCGAATTAACGAGTAGTAGTATTTGTCACAAGTACAGAGTATATTACTACTGCTATTGGGACTAGTCATCCACCCCATCCTTCATTAGTAAAGCAATCTACATATGGAGGAAGCTCATCCAAGTCCCATGTAGAGTTCCCGGGTCGCACTTTGTTTTCCTTTTTTTTCTTTTTTTTTTTTTTTATTTTCTGTCTTTTAAGTTGACGTATAGAGTTTGTAAAACATACGGAGGAAACTCGTCTAGCTCATATATAGTGCCCAAGGGCCGGACTTTTGCTGTCTTTCCTAGGTTTCATATTTTTTTCGTCTTTTATTTTCTGTCTTTTATAATAATGCATTGCATATAAACTAGGCTCCCACCGAACTAGGTATGATTTACTTATAAGTAAATATAATTTTCCCAAACCAGTGAATTCGCTTAAAAACAATTTATACTAGTCCATCCTGTTGCTAAATCCTGACTATGTCCGAGCATGCAAAGAACCTGTGTCAAGTCTCCTCTCTCAAGCCCAAATTATGTAAATGTTTAAATGTTACACCTTTAGACGATGTCACAAACTATTCCAATCAGGTAAAAACAAAAATAAGAAGGACGGGGCCTCACATTGGTTTCATATATCAATTTAGAACAATTGCGGGGAAAAAAATGCTAATGAAGAATTATTCCGTTAATTCACCTTGTCACTAGGAACCTCCATTTTGTGCGACAGTATTTGCATGTCAGACTCTGACTGCAGCTCGGTTGATGGAACATCATCCTCTTTAGGAAGTTCCTCAGAAGGCTCTTGAGCTTCTCCTTTAGATTGTCCTTGTTCCTCAGCACTTTTGGTCAGGGCATTATCATTCTGATCGGAAGCTAGTTGTTCACTAGTAGTCATCTCCACCGCTCCCATGGCAAGTTCTTGACCCGATTGACACGAGCCATTATTATCCATAGCTCCAGGCTCCCCAACTTCCTCCTCTCTCGGCTTGTCTTCCGACTCTCCATTCTGAGTAGGTACTACCAAATAATTTTGACAAGAAAATAATCACTTATCCTTTAGAAAGAAATTTTCTAATTTTTCCATACTTTGATTCAATAAAATCAAAGTAGCCACAAGAGAAATTAAATTTTGTTGAAATATAGATGGTCATTTGCCCAGTGTGCCTTCAGGTTAATGACAAAACAATTTTTCATAATAAAAACCTTTCTGGTGGAAAAGATTGGAGATAAAGAATTGGATAGTTGTACTTATAAGTTTGCGAATACATTTTACCCTTATCACAATTCACATTTTATTTCGTACACAACAAAAGATAATTCCATGTAAAAAAATCATATCCCGTCCCCATCACCAATCATTGAGAGCCGAATTAGTTACAAATTAAACACGATAGCGTAATCCAGGGAAGTGGAGAAAAAGAGGGGTAATTAAACAAAATTACCAACGCCGTCAGTTTCATTGCTATTATAATCATTACTGTCGAAGCGTGCTCGCTTTGCCTCAGACTCATCTGTAGCTCCATTCTCCTCCTCTTCCTCAGTTGCGTTCTTCACTGTGTCCAGATCCGAGTTGGCCGTCAAGCGCGGGACAACGAGTGGCTCAGACCCGCTGTTGAGCTCCAAATCTTCGAGCTTTCTTTTTGGATGATCGTCGGCCGGATCCATGTGGCTAGGTGCCAACTCCTCCGACATTGTTGCTAATTAAGATCAGATTACGTAAAACCTGCTAGAGTTCCAAGTTGCGGAGCTTTTCCGTTGAGAAAATGGTTATATTGTTTTTATTTATTAATTTATAGGGTAAGCGCGAGAGATATTTTTGGGAAGATTGCACCATTGGTCCTCAATCAAACCGTAATTTCACAAGCAGCCATCCATTTATAAAAAGTCAACACGTCTACCACTCCGAATCGAAAAGCAAGCCCAACAGGTGAAAACCGCTCGATTATTTGTTAAAATAATGAATTGAACAGCTTGACGAAAATGATTCATTCGGCTCTATAGCCAAAAAGTCTGCACGGCGATTCCCAGCAATCAAATCAACAATAAAAATTAGTAGAAACAAACTTCACAAAATATTCCTATAGCTTAAAAATAAGTGGAATTTGGCCATTTGGTCCAACTAAATAATGTATTTAATGAGATGGTCTTTGATCAATAATAAAAATAAATAAAAAATGTAAAATATTTCAGTTGGCAAAATGACAAAATTCTCCTTTAGTTGTTAACTTAATGTCTTCCAACTTTTCTCATTTCGTCCCGTCATTTTTCCTTCAAATTCACCTTAAAATCCTAATTTCTTTTTTTTCTTTTGAAAATAACATCTTCTTCCTCTTTTCATCTTCTTCAATTTTAGGTTTTCAAAATTACATTCACATATTTTCTTCTTTTCAATCACATTTGAACAAGAGTTTGATTAGCATAAATTTATAGTGAAAGAAAGAGGAAAAACACTCTTGAAAATTTCATCTATGTTGTATTGTTATTATTAAATATAATATTAAATAATATTTAGTTGGTAGTGTTTGCGTATTTAGTGTGCTCTTGTGTTATTTGCAATCATTGGATGTAATAACACTCCAATTGCTATTTGAAATATAGAACACCACTCCATCCGTTATCTGTACAATAAAATGACACTACAGTCATTATCTGCTGTAGTTTGATTTTTTCAACGAAATGACTCTAATAATAGACTCACTAACGTATATAACACAAAAAGATTGATTAGTTACAAAGAATGATTGAAACGACATAATTTTTATATTATTGACAATGTCATAAATAACGTAAACGAGTTTCACTTTTAGTTCTTGGAACATAGATAAGACATATTTGCTTTTACTCGTGTTTACAAATATAGCTTTTGTTTGAACCTTATTTTTCATCAAAATGCATTCTAAAACAGTAATTTGATCTTATTTTAACCACACGTTCAATAAAATAATATTACACACAAATTCAAAACATTTTTTCATTTTTTAACCACACATTCTCAATAATAACACTATTACAAAATTCATTTGTTGAAAAAAATGGTGCTCAAACAACCCCATAATAACACAAGGGTCGTTTTCATATTAATAACGGCACTTGTGCTGTTCCGTTGATTTTTCTTACATTTTTATTAATATTTTTTAAGTTAAATATTTGCATTTTAATTATACATCTATCCTAGTTTGTTGTTATTTCATGATAATGGCACATATTATGTTATTAGAAATATCAGCATCGATGAAAATGATACAAGTGCCGTTACTGAACTTATAAGAGAAATGAAAACGATATAAGTGTTTTCATGTTTATTACAAAATTTCATAAGAACAGAGCAAACATTATTACTCAGATGAAAATGTTTATGATTTATTAGGGGGTCCAATTTATAAAATCATTGTACATGAATAAAATCAAAATATAGAAAAATCAATAGAATGGCACAAGAGCCGTCACTGAAATAAAAATGACCCTTTCGTCGTTCTATCTATAAGTCCCTGTTTGGTTCCCATTCTTTTTTCATTAAAATGAAAAATACAATCGTTATGCATCACATCAAACCACCAAATTTGAATTTTTATCTCTTGTATGGGGCCCGTAACAGCTATATTTTTCATTTTCATTCTTCAAAAAATGAGAAACAAATGGGGGCTAAATATAAATTGAGAAATATGCTCATTAATTGTTAGTCTAGCATCCAAATGATGGCAAAACTACCGTTATGATTATAAATTTACTTGTCCATGAGAACGACAATTGTGCCATTACTCAGACGAGAACATGACTTGTCTATGAGAATGACACTTATATCGTTACTGAAATGAAAACGTTTATGAAAACAACACAATTGTCATGATATGTGATTTATAAGTGTCCATGAGAATGACACAAATGTCGTTACAATATTTAAAAAGTCCCTAAGAACAGTATCAGTGTCGTTATTAAGATGAAAAATTCTAAGAGACCAGCACAAGTGACATACATAAATATAAACTTCTATTATTACTATGAGAATTGCACAACTTAGGATGCCCAATTCTAGATGTCGTTGCATTGAAAACAAATGAAAATAAAGGAGAAATCAACATAACAGCTCATGTGTCGTTATTGATAATAAAATGGCACTTGCGTCGTTCTGTTTATCATTACGAGTTTAAGCAACTACGACCCATCCTCGCTTCCTAAAATAATAAGTTGAATCCATTTAACTTGAAAAAAAGGTCCTTATTTTCCCCTTTTTAGTGGATATGGCATTTAAAAAAACTAAGAGATATGTCCATTACTTGTAATTTGTTAAAAATAATAAAATCACTTGTGTCGATATTAAGATGAAAAGTTCTAAGAGAACTGCACAAGTAACATTTAGAGGATGAAAATATCATTGAGAAAGTTACTTGTACCATTACTAAGATGAAAAGTTCAAAAAGAACGGCACAAGCATCGTTATCTAAAAATAATTTTTCCATGAGAACATCACTTATGTGATTACTTTAAAGGAAACGAAGCTTGTGTCATTTTATCTATAAGTACGAATATAGGCAGCCACGATCCATCCATACCCCAAAACTCATTTCAACTGCAAGATGGATATGCCGTTTACAAAAATTGTAAGATGTGCTCATTAATTATATTTTCTAACGAATCAATACAATGACTTATGATTTCACCAACTCGATATTATATAACTTATATCAATTCCACTGTTATTTGTCACGTGATCAACATTTCTAACTTTCTTACGTTAGGGATTTATGTTTGAAGTCACTGCGTTGGGAAATGAGCAAAATATTTGTGAAATCAATAAAACGACACAAGAGTTGTTAAACGACACTTGTGTCGTTCTATTTATAAAGACGAATATACGTAGCCACGACCCATTCATGCCCCGAAAATTAATAAGTTGAACTCATTTCAATTGCAGTATGAACATTCCGTTTACAAAAATTGAGAGATGTGCTCAATAATTATATTTTCCAACGAATTAATACAATAACTTGTGATTTCACGAACTCAATGTTGTATAATTTATGTCAATTCAAACATTCGTTGTCTCATGATCAACTTTTCTAACTTTTTTAAGTTAGGAGATCTAATGTTTGAGGTTATTGCATTGAAAAAGAAACAAAATATTTAAGAAATTAACAGAACGGTACTTGTGTCGTTTTGTCTATAAATACGAGTATACGTAGCCACGATCCATCCATGCCCTAAGAATTAATAATTTGAACTCATTTCAATTGCACTATGAACATTTTGTTTACAAAAGTTGAGAGATATGCTCATTGATTATATTTTCTAACGATTCAGTACAAGATTGTGATTTTCACCAACTCAGTGTCATATAATCTATGTCAATTCAACTGTTCTTTTTCTCACGATCAACTTTTCTAATTTTCTTAAGTTAGGAGATCTAATATTTAAGGTTATTGCGTTGGAAGAGAAGTAAAATATTTGTGAAATCAATAGATTAATATAAGAGCTATTAAACGACACTTGTTTCATTCTGTCTATAAAGATAAGTATATGTAGCCACGACCCATCCATGCCCCGAAAATCAATAAGTTGAACTCATTTCAATTGCAATATGAACATTCAATTTACAAAAGTTAAGAGATGTCTCAATAATTATATTTTCTAACGAATCAATACAATAACTTGTGATTTCACAAACTCAATATTGTATAATTTATGTCAATTCAATCGTTCGTTGTTTCATGATCGACTTTTCTAACTTTCTAAAGTTATGAGATCTAATGTTTAAGGTGGTTGCATTGGAAAAGAAACAAAATATTTAAGAAATTAACATAATGACACAAGAGTTGTTACATGACACTTGTGTCGTTCTATCTATAAAGATGAGTATATGTAGCCACGACCCATCCATGCCCCTAAAATTAATAAATTGAACTCATTTCAATTGTAATATAAACATTCAGTTTGCAAAAGTTGAGAGATGTACTCATTAATTATATTTTCTAATGAATCAATATAATGACTTGTGATTTCACCAACTCAATGTCGTATAATCTATGTTAATTCAATCGTTCTTTGTCTCATGATCAACATTTCTAATATTCTTAAGCTAGGAGATATAATGTTTAAGGTTGTTGCGTTGGAAAAGAAGTAAAATATTTGAGAAGTCGACAAAACAACACAATAGCTGTTAAAAGACATTTTTTTCGTTCTGTCTATAAAGACGAGTATACATAGTCATGACACATCCATACCTCAAGAACCAATAAGTTAAACTCATTTAGGTTGTAAGATGGACATGATATTTACAAAAGTTAAGAGATATGCTCATTTATTATATTCTAATGAACCATTAGAATAACTTATATCTTTGTCAACTCAATATAATATGATCCATGTCATTTAAATTGTTCTTTGTCATATGATTAACCTTTCTATCTCACGCACATTAGTGGGTCCAATGCTTGAGGTCGTTGAGTTAAAAAATAAATCAAAATATAAAAGAAATCAACAAAATAGTACAAGTGCCATTACTGAAAAGAAAACGACCCATGAATCATTCTGTTTACAAATATGATTATAAAACGTTTGTTCATGCCTCCGAGTACCAATAAGTTGAGCTCGTTTAGGTTGTAAAATGAACATAATATTTTCAAAAGTCGAGAGATATGTTTATTATTTATATTTTAATTAACCAATAGAATAACTTATAATTTCACCAACTCGATATCACATGATCTATGTCAATTCAATTGTTCTTTATCATGTGAACAACATTTTCATTTTACTTACATTAGATGGTCCAATGCTTGATGTCTTTACTTGAAAGTAAATCAAAATGACATAAGTGCCTTTATGGAGAAGAAAATGATCGTTCTATTTGTAAACACGAATTCAAGCAGTCAATTCTTATTCGTGTCTCAAAAAATAATAAGTGAAACTTGTTTATGTTGTAATATGCACATAAAATGTACAAAGGTTAAGAGATATGCTCATTAACTTAATCAAATTATATAAGTGAGATGATTTGTGCTTTCACCATTTTGATAATATAAAAGCTATATCATTTCAATCGTTCTTTATGATATAGTCAACATTTCTATGTTACATACATTATCAAGTCCGTTATTAGAGGTTATTTTATTGAAAATGATTAAATGTAGATAAAAACTTCTGAACGGTACAAGTGTCGTTACTGAACATAAAAACGACACTGTGTTGTTATATATGTAAACACAACTATAAGCAATCGTGATCCATTCGTGTCTCTAAAAAATAATAAGTTGAACTTATTTACGTTGTATTATGCACATAATATGTACAAAAAATTGAGAGATACATTTATTAACATACGAGTAGGACAATTTGTTATTTCACCATCTCGATAATAAAAAAAACTATGTCATTTCTATATTTCTTTGTGACATTGTCAATTTTTCTGTATTATTTACTTCAGGAGTCCATTATTAGATGTCGTTTCGTTGAAAAAAATAAACCACAGTAGATAACGATTGTAGTGACATTTTACGTAACGGATAACAACTTGAGCGGCGTTCTACATTTCAAATAACAGTTGAAGTGCCATTACCATCCAATAATTGCAAGCAACATAAAACACACATTAAGTACAAAAACAACACCGACTTAAATATTATTCAATAATATATTCAATAATAAATGTACAATTTACATAAGATTTCTAAAATTATGTTTCCTTTTTCTTCAAATATAAATGAAATATTTCAATGTAGATGATAAATGTTTAAAAGATACCAAAATAGGTGAAAAATATAATAAAAGTAGGATTTTAGAGTAGTAGGAATATTTGAAGAGAAGAAAACGAGGTTTTTGTTATTTTGGGGGCAAAAGTTGAATTGAGGAATTTAATTGGATTAATAAGGGTGTTTGAGTCTTTTTCAATAGTAAGGGTATTTATGACATTTGGCATTATTTGTTTATTAAATTTTGTAAATGAAGGATATTTGACCAAAAAACATTGATGGAAGGCTATTTAATTAATAACATTCTTTGACCGGGTTATTTAACAAACTTCCGCTAAAAATAAATGGTACAACTGAACATGATATAATTTTCTTATTCAATTAGGTCAATTGTTTAAATTCTGATGTACAAGACGGTAATGTATCTACTGATTATTCTACACTTGGAACTATACTTCCGCTATATTACAAGGCAGAGACATTTCCCCGTCTACTCAATATCTTTTATGGCATCCTGCATCATAATCAACATCGAGAGATCACCAAATTTATCACATCGACCAATCAAAAGTCATTGCAAGTGCAGTGGCATTACCTTAGCCAGCCGTGTCACATAGGTTGCAGCCAGTGCAGTTGCTAAGAGTCCTAAACCAAGCGTCAATAGCTGACCATTTCCCCCAGGTAACCCTACATCAGATTCTTCTTGCTGGAAGAATCCGAGAAGGTAACAAGCAAAAGATTTTCTCATCCATTGAACATAAGAATCAATACGTACAGGCTTTGTTGCAAACCGTAAGAATCT